CAGATTTATTTGGGTTTAGACCCCATTGGGAGTTGGGCATCTGAGTGCTAAAGACAAGCGCACTACTGCAAGCTGTTTTCAGGTAAACTTGCAGCTTTGGGACAAGTGATTCAGACCCTGGGTCTGTGTCTGGAGCCAGACGGGAGTGTCTGGCTCAGCAAGACAGGGTGCTGGAGTCCTGAGCTGGCAGGGAAAACAGAAGCAGGGGTAGTCTTTGCACATTGGGTGGCAGCTCCCAAGGGGGTTTCTGTGATCCAACCCGTCACACCCACTTCCCCTGACCACCACCACCCTGAACTTCCCTGCCCTCTATCTAACGCCCCCTGCTCCCTTACCGCCCTGCCTGGAGCGGCAGCGCTGTGAATCCGCGTGTAGTCGCGCCGCGTACTGTACTCCACCTCTCCGAGGGGAATAGCTTGCAGCACTGCGAGCGAGCGTGCAGCGCTGCAGGTGCTGATTACACTGGCGCTTTACAGCGCTGCACTCGCTGCGCTCGGGGGGGGGGGAGGGGGAGGGGTGTTTTTTCACACCCCTGAGCGCAGCAAGTGCAGCGCTGTGAATTGCCAGTGTAGCCAAGGCCTAAGTTTGATAGGTGTGAACATAGCCTTCAATTAACATAACAGTAAGGAAAAGCCCTCACCTAAGAGAAAAGGAGTACAGTAGAACCTCAGAGTTATGAACACCAGAATTACAAAGTGACCGGTCAACCACATACCTCATTTGGACAGTAGCAATGACAAAAAACAAAACAAACAACCCACAAACAACAAAACAAAAAAACCCAAATGCAGTACAGTACTGTGTTAAATGTAAACTGCTAAAAAAAAGGGGGGGGGGAAGGTTTTAAAAAAAAGATTTGACAAGGTAAGGAAACTTTCTGTGCTTGTTTCATTTAAATTAAGATGGTTTTCTTCTGCATAGTAAAGTTTCAAAGCTGTATTAAGACAATGTTCAGTTGTAAACTTTTGAAAGAACCATAATGTTTTGTTCAGAGTTACAAACAACCTCCATTCCCAAGGTATACGTAACTCTGAGTTTTTAGTGTATGTGAACCCACTCAGGAGCTTTTGCTGAATATTGTTTTGGGGCGGTTTGCATGTGGGCATATGTGTAGGCAGAACAGAAAATAAACTAGGAGAGACCGGCAGAAGGAGCAGCTGAAAGCAGAGTCTGACCCTGGAAGAAGCATGAGGACAGGTTTTTGGGTCAGGAGCACAGGCAGAGAAGATTATTCTTGGTCCTGTTATCAAAAAGTTGTTTCTTACTATTTGATTCCTACTGTGTTCAGAGACACAGGACTCTGTACATTCTGTGTAAATAAACAAAACTGCATCAGAGAAATACCAGTCTGTCACCAATTTCTGCTCCTACCTGGAACATGCCCAGGGCCCCAAACTTTGGCTAGCCGCTTGGGTCAAAAAGAAGTAACAATATGGTTCCCAAAGAGAGCTCATCAGGAAGTGCGGTCACTTTCAGGTGGAACTCTAAAGCAGTGACTTTGGAGTACAGGTTTTGTTATGGTCGGAGGGGAATGGAAGAATAGCTTTTCCAGTGAACAAATTTTAGGGTGGCAGAGTGGGATTACCCAAGGTGCCATTTAATGGTAAAGGACTAGATTGTGGCTGTGTTTTACATGAGCACGTAGTGGGAAGTAAGGAATCCCTCTGTTATGGTGACTATACGTGGGCTCCCCACGGAGCAGGTGTGGAGGCGGAGGAACCATGGCTGTCCACCCCTCCACACCAATACAGAGGAGAATACAGTGCACCCTGAAGAGGGGTGTTACATATGTCTTCCTTCCTCCACCCCCAGCACAACCGCCGTCCTGCTAGGCAGGGTGTCTCTGAGCTACCACGGGGGCAGTGTGGAAGCTTTACTCCCCCCTGACTTCAGGCTGTGCCTGAGTGGCACAATGTAGTTCAGAGTAAATGGGGATACGATAAATACGGGAAGGGGATTTGATTTGTACGCAGTGCCACATCTCTGGAAGGATGTTGAGTCATGGGGCTGATGGTCCCTAAAAAAGCGAGGAAGGTCAAGTTATATTTTTCAGCTAAGCGTTCAGACAAGAAATCTATCATAAGCTGAAACTAATATACACACACCTGTAGAGCTTTATGAGAGTAGTATCAGTTGAAAGCATTTACACTGTTACAACAAAAACATACAGCCATTGTACGAGGGGGAGGGTTTAAAAAAATTACAAAATCCAGTCATGCCCTGGATAAATATTTTACTGAAAATGCATTTAAAGTCCACCACAAATATCACTAAAATCTTAAGGGAGATTACATAGAGATCTGTAAAATGAGTATTTCAGTGAGAACATTGATAACACATCTGAAAAATGGGGGTAATGCCAAAATATGAAGCATTCTAATAAGTAGAGAAGAGCCTGAAACGAGAGTCTACATCCAGGTTAATGCCCGAGAGTGGGACCAGAACCAATCTCTAAAAAGTGTGGACTCCAACAACCCTGACCTGTGGGATCTGGCCGTTTAAGCAGTTCCACTCACCATTGTAGCGCCCCCTGGCTTTTTTTTTGGAGGGGGGGGGCAGAGAGTGTCCATTTCTAGCATCCCAGTTGACCACTTCTTTGGCTCTGCAATGGCCTGTTTCTGTCTTCATCTTTCATGGCCCAGCCTTCCAGCCATGTCCTCTCTTTGCAGTTCTGTCTCTTTCCAGCTAAAGAATCCACACCAACACCCACACAGAGCTCCTTCTGTCCCTCTCAAGCTGTATTGAGGTTCTCTGCTTTTCACCCCAGCTCCTGGGCACTGCAGAGTTATTTCTTTGCTTCTTTGACTCTGCACTACCTCCTAGGCTTTTTTTCCCCACTTCCTCCCCTTCCTGGGGACTCTGGTAACTTCTACCAGGGACCTCCCTGCTTCTTAGACACTCTCGTGCTCCCTGTGGTTCTCTCTACCTTGCCTTCACCAGGCTCTTCCTAAAGAGCTGGCACTTCTATCGCTCCTCTGTCCTAGATTTCCCCTTTCTGACAAAGTGCTTTCTCTACGTAGTCCTCCCTGACCCTTTCCCAGCTGGGGTCATTACTGGTAATTAAGCCACCAGATCAGGATCTGCTGGGGGGTAACTGCTAAGTAACAGGCAAGGCTGAGGCTGACTTTCCTTAAAGGGCCTGCTAGCCTTTGGCAGGCCATTATAGAGATGATGGGGCCGGTCTAGTTCTCTTGGCCCATTTGACTTGAGTTCCCCTCCCCCCCCATATCTCTACATACCCAGGAAACCGCCTCTCTGCTCCCATCTGGCTGCGCACCAGTCCCACAAGTTGTGGTAATTCCCCTCCTTCACCTGTTTATGTCTTGGTGACCCTTTTACTTCTGCTATGTGAACAGGAAGTCAGTAGATGGAGCCACAACACAACTTTCCAGGCCAGGAGAAAGACAGGGAATTGCAAGCATCTCTGGGGTGACCTGCAGGTACAGCGATCTGGGGATGGCACCCTGATGACTGGCTGTGTGTGCATAGCAAGGATCCAAGACAGCGAGACCCTATGCAAGGGCACAGGTGTCAGGGTACCTCTGATTCACCACACTGTGTTCCATCCAAGCATCTGTTGAGCTGGCAGCCAGTCCTGCATTCCTCTCCCTCCCAAATAGTTCAAAGATGCCTCTCCTGAAGGGTGTGTGAAGAATAGGTGGCATCCACTTCCTGCTCTTCCCTGCTTCAGACACGCCACCCTCAGATAATGCTCATCTTTGGGGGCAGGGACCTGCTCAGACAGGGATTTCCTAGCACCCAAGTACGTGTTCCTGAAAACTACAGAGCCAGAATAGCTTGCTGCGGGCCCACAGCTCCTCCAGCGCTGGCTTCCAGTTTGTTCGCTGGAGGGAGCCTGATTTCCTCCTCCTACTCTGAGAATGTTAATGCCACCATTGATTGTGCTCCCCACCCACAGATGCGGGTCCTGATCCTGCAGGGCCTTACAGACACAAGCAGCCCTGCTGATATCAATGGGCCCTCACCCATGTACTTGTGCGAGTGAGGCTTTGCAGCATCCGGCCCTTCATGTAAGTGCTCCTTTCACCACTGCGCCTGACAAACTGAGGAGCAGGGGCAGTACATTCACCAAATTAGCCTAAGATCACTTCAGAAGTGGACCTCAAGTCCCTAGTGTCCTTGGGCCTTCAGGTCCACTTGCCCTGAGTCCTGAGGACCCTGGGCCCATATGCAGAGTACAATTCGCTCCTCTAATACTCTTGCAAAGCTCATACATTCAACACAATAGGTTATACATAAAACAAAACCTGGTTATCAGAGAAGGGAAGAACCGCCAATGCAGAAATCAGCCAGAGTCCATGCAGGTCCATGCACTGTCACGAGTTATGGAGTGACACAGCACTGTAATGTCATTGTCTAGCCAGAAGTTCTTTACTATCCTGCAGCGAGAAGGAGCATGGTCTGAAACAAAGCCAGAGAAAACAAACAGAGGTGGGATAAATCCATCATATTTTGTACTTCTACCAATATAAGGCCTTTCATCTAAGGATGTCAAAGTGCTGCTCATGCTGCAGGAAGTAACCATCTTCACAGTAAACACTGCAAATCCAGTGACTATTGCGCTGGCTGGAGTCACAACATGGCCCCAGAATTAGGCCCGTTGTGTGCTCAATAACGACTGACCCATCCCTATAGCGACTGACTGATCCCAGTCAGACTTTCTGGCAGACGGCATCCCCACCTCTAACCCCACTCTCTTCTGGGGTGGGCAAATGCTACCAAGTCCTGTTTCCTCTCCTCCAAAACTATGCATCAAATTTTAGCTAGCACCTTCTGCTGCTCACAGGGCACTGATGCTTCCTGGGCAAAATCATTCAGTCTCCAAGATTCTGGTGCCCATCCCCAGGAGGAAAGAGGAAGATCAGTGTGTATGGAAACTGGTATCATAGCCTGTCTGTGATGGGGAGTTAGATGACCATGAAACCAGTGCTCCTCTAGCATCTCACAGCAGGGCCGGAGCAAACGAGGATTAACGGGAGGGTGCAAAAGAGCCCCCAGCATCAAGCCTCAAGCAGAACATTAGTTACATCACATGGCAAGAGGTGAGTAACAGAAGTTAGACCTGGGAGGTTAACTGAGATTTAACAATAGGTGAGAGGAGAAGATAGCGAACAGTGCAGCAGCCCCAGCAGGAAGTCCTCCACCAGAGAAGAGAGCTGTGGTACAAGAATTAGGCTAACAGGAAGCAGAAAAAATGCAGAGTCAAAGGCCTTGGCTACACTTGCGAGTTACAGCGCTGTAAAGGCTCCCCCAGCACTGTAACTCATTCCCCGTCCACACTGGCAAGGCATTTGCAGCGCTGTATCTCCGTGGTTGCAGCGCTGCATGTACTCCACCTCTCCGAGAGGAATAGCGAGTATTGCACTGCCGCTGCAGCGCTGCGGCGCCGGTGTGGCTGCCCAATGCGCTGTGAATGGCCTCCAGAATTATTCGGCAGTATCCCACAATGCCTGTTCTAGCCACTCTGGTCATCAGTTCAAACTCTACTGCCCTGGCCTCAGGTAACCAACCATGTGACCCACCCTTTACATTCCCCGGGAATTTTAAAAATCCCCTTCCTGTTTGCTCAGCCCGGCGTGGTGTGGAGTGCTATCAGCGAATCTTTCCAGGTGACCGTGCCTCCATGCGCCAAGCGAGCCCCAGCATGGAGCAATGGCGAGTTGCTGGACCTCATCAGTGTTTGGGGGGAGGAAGCTGTCCGGTCCCAGCTGCGCTCCAACCGTAGGAATTCTGATACCTTCAGGAAGGTATCAAAGGACATGATGGAAAGGGGCCATGACCGGGACGCCCTGCAGTGCAGGATTAAAGTGAAGGAGCTGCGGAGTGCCTACCGCAAAGCCTGTAACGCAAATGGACGCTCGGATGCTCCCCCCGCGACCTGCCGATTCTACAGAGAGCTGGATGCGATACTTAGGGTTAACCCCACCTACACTCCGAGCACCACCATGGACACTTCAGAGCCGGTGGGGAGGGGGGTGGAGGAGGAAGAGGAGGAGGAGGAGGAAAACGGGAGTGATGGTGGTGGGCCAGATGGAGACACCCCGGAATCCCTGGAGCCATGCAGCCAGGAGCTCTTCTCGAGCCAGGAGGAAGGGAGCCAGTCGCAGCGGCCAGTACTTGGTGGAGGACAAACAGAAGAGCAGGTTCCCGGTAAGCGTTTTTTTTTTTTTTCGGGAAGGTAA